CCTTCACTGCTTAAATAGCTCTCCATACTAACAGAGCTGGAGAGGATGGACTTTTTGCGCACGTCTCCATATAGCAAAAGCGCAACGTAGCACCAAAATGAAAAGAATGTTACTTTTGATGTTGTGTTTTGAAGCGATCCATGAAAAGTATGATACACTTAAACAATAGACATGGATAAGAAATTCAAAATTTCAATTGTTTTCCAAAAAATGCGAAATGTGCTGAAAAAGACGGGACTATCACAGAAAAAGAATTGGAAGGATAACTGTCGCGTCCTTGGCTGGGTGAATGCTGCATGCGTCCGCTCAGAAAGGTTCAAACTTCGCGATTACAATTGCGAGAGGGGCGGAGCGTCCAGTGCAAACCATACTGATCAATAATAACACACTTAACTCGCGACAGCGTTTGCGATAGCAATCGCGAAGTCAGGCCGGTCTGCATGTTAATCGAAAGAGGGAAGAAATAAAAAGCAACAGGGAAAGTGGCTCACTTATATAATCTTCAAGATTCTCATTGGCATGATCCTTCAGAAACCTGGCGATTTCTTCTCGTTTCGTTTTTAAACAGTTATAACGTGCTGAGGCTAGAACCCTCGACTGAAAAACAACAATGCAAGATAAGATAAAAAATAAATTAAAAGCATAGCAGACAACTTTCACCAAAGGCTGTTTCAAACTGGTCACAAAAATTAGTAAGCGTTTGGAAACCCACCTTTCCGAGCGGTTTCAAGTTGTTAATGTCATCACATGAACTCGTCTCTAATTGTGTACAATAGTAATCGACTTCATGGATTGGCGTAGGCGGTTCCGAGTACGATGGCATTTATTTTGCCTTAAATAAACATAATTGCTTTCTAAAGCCTTACTAAATGGAAATATGAGGAATTTCTTGAAGTGTCTTGCAATAGTAGTATGAAGCTGTAAAAGAAGGAAGTGTAAAAGGCAAAAGAGGCTGTAAGGAGTTGCCGTTTCTATTGATACTTCCACTTTCAAAGCTGAAAGAAGTGACGCACGATAACGAACACATTGCGTGGTGGGTTTAATGGATAAATATGTCAAACAACGCGAATCGAAACCCTCCAAAAACCTGTTCTGCAAAACTCGTCAGGTGCCAGTTTTTTGGTGGTAAACAAAGATTCCCAGAGATTAAAGTGCAGTGATATGACGTAATAGTAGAGAAGAATCCTATCTATTTGATTTAAAGTGCACCAAAGTAAGATTTGAAGATAATGGTGTTCCAGTATGAGCCACGCATCCGATTTTTATTCATATCGTCGAGCAACTTATTCGAGCATTGACTTACACAATGACCACTTAAGTGAGCCAGCCAAGCATTCTAACCATGCTTGAATATTGTTTCCTGGCTATAGTTTACAACAGCGCTTAAACGATAAATAAAATCGTCTCTTGAGACATGAAGAGCGAGCTTATTGTTGAGCGAGACCTTCATTCCATTGCGTAAGGGCGCCTTTGCACGAATCTAATTTATGATTAAGCTCACATAAACTCTGGCGACCGGACATGGACAAGATTCACAGAGGGTGTAACCGAGAAACACAACAAACAAACGAAAGAAGTGAGTAAAACCGGCGAAGGAACCAGGGAAAGACCACAGATTTGCGTTTGAGGAGATGCCAAAGTACGTGCAGACTAGAAATGAAATGAATCTGCTGCGTAAAAATCCAATAAATTAAAATAGCGTCCTAGAAATAATTAACATAATAGAACGCAGCTTCAACAACGTCCTGTTCTGCGGCAGATAATCAAAATCAGCTGGTCCTACTGCGATGACCAACTGCTACTGACCAGACTTTACATGAGGCCGTCAGGAGAAGGACTTTGTGAATGTGCTGCGCCGGCGTATGATCATGTAAAGTTTTCGAGACGCTATTTCTTAGGATCGTTTACACAGCACTGAACTTTATGTATCTGCACTGTGCTTTGGCCTGCCCTCAAACGCAAAAACTCTGTGGTCTGCCCCTGGTTCCTCTCGCGGCGTTTTATCACTTCTCTTCGTTCTGTTTTGTTGGGTTGGTCGGTGACTGGGAACGGGGTCAAGGTCGGTGGCGGGCCAGAGCGGTGATCAGAGTAACAATCCCGTCGCACGAATCCATCTATCGAACGAAAATAGCCATGAGTTTCCGCGCTTTTATCGCACAATATAGAACCTGGTCGCAGCTGCTCGCTGCAGGCGAATCCAGGTCCACTCAAGCGTCATCAAATTTTCAGGTAACGAGATTTTTCTGGGTACTTTCCCCTCCGTCTGGTCAAGTCAGGCGAAGAGATGTTTTGGGCTTGCAAAACAAGGTACCTTTACAATTTTAGGGACAGAGTTGGAATTAAGTCAAGTTGAATAGCGTACAACAGTTCCATAGCACAATCGACAGCGATTGAAGATAAAGGGAGGAGGGAGAGGAGATTAGGTGTAGATAAGGCAGGTGTGTTATGTTATGGTTCGGAGTTCAGCTGGCGCTCTATCATCTTGCTGGCCTTAAGGTTTTGTATGTGTCTGTGATGTGATCCCTGTATCCGGGGTGACCTCATAGGTGCTGTTTCGGGGAGGCACGCATGGAAAGTCCTTCGACGTTGTGATGGGGTGTGCTCTCTGGGGTGGTTGTGTTCGTATAAGAGCTAGTTCATCCAAGTCTCCTTATTGTCTCTAGTGGACATTATCTTACCGCTACCTCTGAATTTGTGTTAATCATAGGTATTAATGGGAATTTGCTCTGGAATGAGACAATATGCTTAAGAAACCACGATATATATTCTGATACGAACGCAATGTCGGATTGTCCTCCGCGGGAGATTACCATATATGCGACGCAGTGAGCTCCTCTAGCGAGCTAGAGATCCGCAGCATATAGTGTGTTGCTTGTCTTCGAGCGGGCTGCAGCAGACTTGCGATCTTTGGGAGACGAGCAGGTCATATATTAGAATCGGGGCCATTGGAAATTGGCTGTCAACGAAATGGTGATGGAGTAATGGAAAGAAGTTATGAATGTTTGAATGTCAAAAACTCGCGTGTGCACAGAAAAACGGAACAACGGGACTATTTTTTGAAATGATCGCTGGAAAATTTTCAGTGCTTGTTCGAAAGCTCTAATCTTCTAGTTTCTAATTAGCCTTAGACATTTGCAAAAAGTTGATATGAAGAAAGTTATGAATGTTTGAATGTCAAAAACTCGCGTGTGCACAGAAAACGGAACAACGGGACTATTTTTCGAAATGACCGCTGGAAAATTTTCAGATGCTTGTTCTAAAGCTCTAATCTTCTTGTTTCTAATTAGCCTTAGACGTTTGCAAAAAGTTGATAATGAAGAAAGTTATGAATGTTTGAATGTCAAAAACTCGCGTGTGCACAGAAAACGGAACAACGGGACTATTTTTCGAAATGACCGCTGGAAAATTTTCAGATGCTTGTTCTAAAGCTCTAATCTTCTTGTTTCTAATTAGCCTTAGACATTTGCAAAAAGTTGATTATGAAGAAAGTTATGAATGTTTGAATGTCGAAAACTCGCGTGTGCACAAAAAACGGAACAACGGGACGATTTTTTGAAATATTGAACATCCACAACATTTCAAATACTTTTTAGGAAGAAAACTATTTATATTTTTAAAATTTTGGTGTCCGGTTTCATGAGACCGCTTCTGAAAGAAAATATAACCTTCTGAATGGAGGGGTTTGGATTGCAATGTAATTGCTACAAGGTTTAGTTTTTCAGATTATAAGGTAAGGAAAGTTGAGAGATCGAAAAAATCCTGGTGGGTTTCTGAAAGTAGAAATCTTTACGATTAAAATGATGTATTGGTTTACGCAAAAATTTGGAAATTCCTTCTATTTAATGAATAAAACTTCATTTGCCTCGATTCCCTCCTCTGAGCGAGACAAAGCGCGCGGATTGACCACGGTCCACCACTTCTCCATGTTGGTGACTGCCATCATTGATCATGATGAGCATTAAATTATGTGAAAGACATGATAGTTAATATGGGGGGTCGTACCGATACCCCCGAAAAGGAAGGGGGTCGTAAAAATTTTGGAATTTGCGCAACGCAGGGTTGACCCTGGGTGGGAGGGGAGGGTCTTGTACATATCAACTGATGAGTGTTGAAGGGCTCGTTTTGAAAAATGGAATGATGGTGTACCAAAAACTTGAGCAGATCAGTATTTCGAAGGGTTTAAAAGAGATTCCACGTTAGGAACGAAGGTCGAAGAAGGGAAAATGCCTACTGGGAGACAGGCGGACCTCCTGAGGGTGCGGATTGAGCGCAATTGGCACGAAAGATTTGACCTCGGCGATCTAGCATGGCTCACTCTTGGCGCAGTTGGCGCGGTACGCCCACCGACATAGCAGAGAGAGCGTTAGCGTTGAAGAGGGCACGATGAGAGTCGCATCAATGCGGAAATCAACGGGCAAGGAAGGGGTCCCATTTCTCGGGTTGGGCCGTTTCTCATGGTTTTTCCTTCTTTCTTGTATCACTTACCATATTCAATTTAATTTGGAATGGATTGCTTTTTCACCGTGCCTTCAATTCTGCTTTTCGACTACGTGTGTATGTTAGTGGATATTTCGTTATTTTATTTCTGTGGGGTTTAAATCTAGCTTTACCGTGAATTGATTCAATTGAATTTTTTTGGAGGGGGACCTCTTTATCCTTCCCTTGTTGGAGGAGTTTTGGAAGTGAAGGTAAGAGATAATGAAGATGGGGAGGTGACAGTGAGGTAGATGATCCTGAAAAGGGTGAGGGTAATAACTAAAAAATTTCTCGTCTTTCTAACTGAAACCTTTTTGAAATCGCTCTATCACATGTCATTGTCGAAACGAAATCTGTATGCTACTTCACCAATGACCACAAAATTTGGTACGAAATTTGACACAGCCTTCTTCTAAATTTCGTCGAAATGTAGCAGGTCAATGTTTCAAAATTTCTTAGCGATAATTAACAACATGAAAATATCATTGGGCGCTTCTTTAACATTCAGCCTAGACACAACAATGAGGTAAGTAAAATTCCATGCAAAGCTGTATAAAAGCAATGGGAAACGTCGGCAATGAACATTTCCTCAAACTCTTCTTTTGCCCATAATTGCTCTTGTGTAGCAAGAATAGCCATCGCGCTTGCCTAGTTAAACTCTTTTTCCCTTTCCTTGGTACTTGCTCATATCGGGAAATAGGTTCTTAGGACCTTCTGGAAATCAGTCATAAAAGGATGCAGTGTTCTCATAGGCCTCATGTCTAAAATGAGGCCTATGAGAACACTGAAATGGGAACTAAAATGTGTTTTTCAATACTCATATATGGAATAGCTGGAATGTGGAGCGATTTAGTGAAACTTACAGGTACTAATTTTAGTAAATATAGCAGCCCAGGAAGAGAAGATGCTTTGTGTCGCCATACTGAGTATTTTCACTTTCGTCACCTATGCACATTACAATCAAGCACCGTCGCACGGCTACGGTGTTCCCCAGGCGCCAGTGAGGCAATATTATCCACCTCCAATGATCCTCGAGCCGGTTATCCTTCCCGAACTGCCACCTGAGCCTGAATTCGTAAGTTATAATGCTATACGAGAAAGTTGACATGCTATATTTACTCACTTTTAGCTCGTGCCCGAAATTAGCCGTCACCGCCGTCGCCATTCGGATGACAGTCGTGGCCGTGAGCATTTTTCTTATTCGTTTTTGAATACATCGTGATGTGAACAGTGATACAGGATAAGAGAAAGAGCTATTGAGAGCCTCTGGCAGGCGGTTGCTCTTTCCTCAGTGTATGCTTGTTATGGCCCACCTTGCACAACTCACATCTTCTGCGCATTAACACC